GATGAGAGGAAATCCAGTTATCTTTTTGTTTTGTCTGTCTGGGGTGTGTGTGTGTGTGTGAGAGAGAGAGAGAGAGAGAGAGAGAGAATACATGTACACACACAATGGTATATATATATATGTGTGTGTGTGTGTGTGTGTGTGTGTATATATATATATATATATATATATATATATATATACATATATATAATAAAATATAGTGTCACAATTGCTCCTTTTAATTTGCCCAAACTAAGGGAAAGAAATATTAGCATATTTGGTAGAAAATAATAGATTTATGTAAAATTTACACCCAGAAGGAAAATTAGAGATGGAAAAAATAATATGAGCTAAAATGTATTCAGCACTCAAAATATTCAGGTACTAGTAAGCGCTTTATAAACATTATCTTTTAAAAATCTGTATATCAACCTTGTTTATAGATAAGAAAACTGAGGCTCTGAGGTAGTTGAGTCACCTTTGCAAAGTGACAGAACCAGTATTAAAATCAGGTATATTCATTTTCAAAATCCTGTTTTTTAACAGTAATAACATTCTGCCTATCAAATTTACCTCACAAAGTCCAATGTGCTCAGTTTCCAAGTAAGAAAACTGAGGCCCAGCAGTGTGAAACAGCTTTTCCAAGGACACATAGTTGGTCAGGGACAGTCAGGACTAGGCAGGAATTACCACGGGACATCTTCATTTGCCATTGAAATACATGACTCCTAAAGACAGATATCAGTGAATAAGAAAGACAGGACTAGAAGGTGAGCAAAGTCAAGTCATATGCTTTCCTCTTCTGCTTGACTTTGGGATGGCCTGCATTCTGTTTCTTATAAAATCTCCAAGAGACAACAATTACAGCCATGAGAAGGAACACAATCTGTTTGAATGACACATACAAGAGATATTTTTGCATAAAAGCAGGGAATTGGGCCACTTATAGCCTCTTAAAGATCAAAAGGCCCTTGGAGGAATGTTATTCCTCACCACCAGCTTCTTATCCCAACCCACAGCTGACTGACTTCCTTATTAGGCTTGGACAATGGAAGGACAAAGAATTTAAACCAAGGAGGCTTTGTGAAACTGCAGAAGAGTAAGGCTTGGGGAATGGAGGCAATGTCCCTGGGGAGCATGGCTGGAAGTAGACCATTTGGGCAGTGAGGGAGGAGACGTGCCCAAGCATAGAGATGCCTCTGTGCAGATAATCCAGACTTGGCTGAACACAGTTTTTACAAATCTAAGGCTTCTTAGTTTTCCAGATGGCCATTCCCACTTGTTCAGACAGCCTGGGCCTCTGTTGCTGGATATCCGATGTCCTCTATCTGCAGATGATGCCAGGGACCAGTCTTCAGATGCACCTGGGAATCAACCAGCTCTCCCATATCTCTGTGAACTGAACCCCTGTGTTGCCCTCACCCACTCCAGTGCTTCTCTTGCTGGCAAACAGGGTAAGGTTCCGTCACAATTCAAACTACCCCCAAGTTAGCCTCATCAGATTACTGAGCTTCTGTCTGGCTGTCCAGATTCCTCCTGTACACTCTTCCTCAAGGGCCCATAGTCCTTTCCTAAATTTCACCTTATTGACTGAGTTTTAGTTACATGGCCTGGTCCTTGAGCAATTTGCTTGTTTCTGCTAAGAAGCGGAGTAATGTCCTCCAGATTCCACCTGCCTTGGCAACCTGCCCTCCCCTTCCTCACTAGTCTCGGTTTATTGAAGATCTATCATGTTAGGCCTCACATCAAGATCTCCGATTCTATAGCATTAAGCATCAAATCACATACTTGTTCTTTGAAGATGTATATAGGATTGGCCTATGACTTGTCAATGATCCTCTCCAACTCATGAGATTATACAGAAGCAAAGTCACCATAACAGCGGATAAGCTACTGCTATTTCTACTATCACGACTACTGATGAGCATCTTCTGTGTGATGGGCATTGTGCTAAATGCTTCCCATGGATGAACTCGTTTAATCTTTACAACTATAAGAGATGGGTAGTAGATATCTTTCTTACTTCCTTTTTATAGATCAAGAACTTGACATATGCAGAATTGAAGCCAGAGATTGCTGACTGCTGGGCTATGGTCCCACATGGGGTATAGGTTATGAGTCTTCTGATCATCTCACTCTTTATGGCAGCTGTACCAGACCCTCTGGCCCCTGCCTCAAGTGGCCCCATTTGTTTAATCCAGGGATCTTATCCCAGCATTTGTACAAATATTATCACTTTTCACTGATTCCATGACATTAAAAATGCTTTGGTTAAGTGGTGGAGCCACTCTTGAGTTCAAATCTGTGGAAATCAGAACCCGATCTGAAGGTAAACGTTCATAATGATGCTTTTCCTAACAAAACAAATAAAAGGGGAGGGAGCAACCAAACCCAGGCTAAAATTCCCCAAGGGTGGGCATTAAAGAGCAATATCAATCAGAACCACTAGAGTTTCTCGAATTTTATAAAGTTTGGAGAAAAGAGTAACAGCGATGAGCGAAGAGGAAAATCAGGTTGAAGAGGGAAGTTACAATGATGATGGTTTAGAGGAGAAGGCTGTGGCTGTCTTGAATGGAATCTCATTCTTAAAAGAATTCCCCAGGAGGAAATTACTCTCAACGTTCATAGAAGCATGGACAGGATAAAGTAGATTTAAAGCAGGATGGATTTGGGGTTGAACATCTGCAACTTTTGACCATACGTTTGATGAAACATCCTGGCTACTCAGGACCACCTGGAACCCTTTGAGAACAAAACCTCAGCAGTGGGGTAGGGTTTAGACATCCCCCTTCTTAAAAGCTGAATTTTGGTTCAAAATATCTAGCTGTAGGTCCTTGTAAACTTGAAGGTTTTTTTAACCTCTTCGTTTTCTTTTACAGACAAAAGATCTCATTAAACTTAATGATTTTCACTTGGATGCTTGATATTTGAGGGTTTGGGAGAAGATCTATCCATTGCTTCTAGGAGTTTCCCCAAGTGCTTTTCAAGATGCATGCACTACTTAAGGAGCCTTTTCTTCTGACTGCTGTATTTGTAGTGTTTGTCTCTGAGGCTCTTTGGACGACGTGTCACACACATAATGATCTTAGACCGAGGCAGAACAACACCCTCATTTCATGCTCCTCCAATAGCTTGATAACACACATGGAATCATTTAATATGTTCAAAAGCAAAGCACTAGCATTTTTATATTAAAAAGTACCCCAAAGGAATATGTGCTCTTTTCACAAGGACATAAAACAAATGACAACTGACATTAAATCAACTATACAGAGGAAATACTGATTTCTGACATTGGAGGCATTAACAATTTCCTAGGCTGTGTTCATCACTTGGATAATACCAAAGTGATGGCTCACCAAATGGTTTGCAAGAACTTGAACTTTGGAGGAAAGTTTCGAGAAGGTCCAAGTCCATCTCAGAGTCTTTTCCATACCCTCGTGGCCATACCAGCTTGCACACACACACACACACACACACAACTCTCCACATGAAAGCAAGTCATCTTGCTTTGAGGTGTTGTCAGCTTGCAGGTTGTCAGCTTGGGTTGAAGTGGAGAACCCCAAACATATTTTGGCTTCCAGGCAATGAACCAGCAGATGATTTTCTTTCTAACGAAACCCAAGGAAGAAAACTGTTCATGTCTGGTTTGATGAATGAGTTATTCAGAAGCAGTGAGTTCATTGCTTTTGGCATCCAGAAATTGGTGAGGGCCCATATAAATAGTAAACAATGCTTTTTTGGTTTTGCACCTCAACTCAAACAGTATGTTACATGCAGCCTGCCAAGGACTCTGCCCTTGGACACACCCAGATGACTCCCACTGTAGTCAATGAAAACTATGAGAGAATTTCAGGGGAGTAAAATTCAGCTGGGGGTGTGTGTGGAGGGACTATGCATGAAGGTCTGAGGGCAGCGTTTGAGCCAGAACCTGGCTCAATGGGTTGGATTCATGTGCCTTTAAAGACCATGCCTTTTCTCTCTGCACTATGTTAACTAGCATGCTTCAAGCAAGCATGGGAAAACTGATCCAGGAGCCAGTGAGTCCTAAAACTGTCCAACTGTCTGAAGTCATACTATAAAAAGACACAGTCATTTTACTTCTGATGTGTGCTTTTGTGTAGACATATCAAGCTGACCACAAATAAAAGTGAAAACAGATCCAGAATAAGTACAGCAAACAATGGAAAACAAATGGATCCTGGAGTTCAGATGAAAAAGACTGGTTTTGCATGCCCCCATATTCTGCTGCTTTTTTCCCTAAAAATGTTTTCTTAACATTTCTAGCATTATTAGTGGAATTAAATTATTCCACGTGGGTGCAAAATCTGCCCCATGGTGCCAACATTTGTTTTCTGCACTCAAGCTGGGAGAAATGCAGTGCACTTCTCTGACAATGGCACTGATCTTTCATTATGGCAATTTAGGACTCACCGTTGACCCATGGGAAGCTGGGCATCATTCAGAATATATAAATGACAAGGACTCTGTCCTTGAGTGCCTTATCATGCTTTCTAACAGATGCTTATACTTAAGATATTCAGTCCTTGAATCACCTGCAATATTGATTACACTAAATGAATGGTTTTTTGTCTGAGAAGAGCAATAGCCTAGACAGTGATATTCTTAAGAGGAAAGTGGACAATCCCACTATTCCCCCTCATGGATGGAGAAATGGATGCAGGGAGAGGTGCAGCACCCCCTTGATTCCTTCTGTTAAAATTCACGTTATCTAAGAAGTCCTTATTAAGCAACTAGTATGCGCCTAAGTACTTTTCTAGGTGCTACGGAGATAGCAGTTGAATAAGAATGCCAAGTGTCTGCTCTCATGGAGCTGGCATTCTATCTGGAGTGGAGAAAATCAGTACACCAATATTTCCTTGTTCATTTATGCACTTGCTTAAATTTTTGTTAAGCACCTGCTCTCTAGTTTTATGTCCAATGTTATATTTATGCACAAGGTATATGACGTTGCCAACATTCGTAAGCGTTTGGAAGACAGGAAGAAGTCTACTCACTTTTCTCTCTGGGGCAGTCAACAGTTCCTAGGTGATTACGATCAGCATCTTGGAAACAATGAATAAAATACCATTGACTCACAATCCCATATTCCATTCCGTCACCCTACTATGATGGACTGCTTTTCATGTGGAAAGTGAATAAACTTCATGTTGTGTAGCTGATCTTTCTAGATGATGGATAGAAAAAGTAATATAAATCACTCTTTTCCTCTTCTTCCAAAAGCAAATGTAATCAGTGTACCACCCTTCCCACTATGGATTGTAACAATATGTTTTATACTCTTGCATAAACCTAGCATTTGAAAATATACCAAATGCAACAGCACAAATGTGCTAGAAATGGTTTTTAATTTACTATATTGTTTTCTTCAGAACCACCATTTGATTTCTTTAGCTTACCCAAAGAATCCATCCCTAGTTGCATGATCACCTTATTTGTGTAATTATTTTAATAGTTGCCAAAATTAATAATAAGAGTGTCTACTATTTTTAATGGTTCAAAAATATCATTTTGGAAAATGGACTCTTATTTCCTTCTGGAGGATGGAATAAGAAGATACAGCGTGAGGGAAAGGAGGACCACAGGAAATACAATGATTTTCTTAAGATTTAAATGACAATGTGTCTTTCTGAGGCTTATAGGCTGATAGTTAGAGACACGGCCTTTAGAGTCAGAAAAAAAAGAAAAACTGGCTTGACTCCTGCTACACACTAGTTGTGTGATTTTAAACATAGATGAAACTCACTAAGATCAATCTTCCCATCAGTAAAATGGGAATATTTTAATTAGCTGTTGTGAGGATAAAATGGAACAATACCTATGAATGCTTTAATGCAAGGTCCGGCATAGCTCTGAGCACTCTATAAATGGTTGCTGTTTTTTACTATTACAATCATTGTAATTTTATTTTACTGTTACATGTCATAAAGCCAGATGGAGAATCATGCTTGATCCTGACTATGAGCGGTAAGGAGAAGAAGAAAAAGAATGAATTATAATTAAAAAAAGCTTTGTTTAAAAAAAAAAATTACAATGGAAAATAGAAGTCCGTATTTTATTCTATCTCATTATGGCTAACTACTTGGAATAGGTAAATATAGGTATTTTTTTGAAGAAACATGTAACTAACTCCCAATTTCTCATAATCAGGGAATAAAAGCATAATGGTACTCTAAATTTCATTTAAATAAGTACTCTTTAAATTTCATTCAAATTTCTTATTGTGGCAAACACAAAGTAGAACAAAAATGTAAATAAAATCCAGTCATTTATATATCTCCTGGTGCAAGACAGGCTAAACTCTGAAAAATAGGAAAGAGGGGTGGATGGTTATCCTTAGTCTCCTCACTTTCAGTTCCAAGTTTGCAAGAGGTTGGCTCTTCCATGTTATGATTTCTACCAGCTATCCATGAAAAGTGTTGTGTTACTCAAGGGACGGAAGAAATGGTCGGTGGTTTTCTGGTTGGGTACATTACATGAGCCTGGTGAAATGCACAGCTTCTGCATATCCCCATTTGATGGGAACTGGGTGATCCTTTCTGTTCCCCATCAAGTCTCACAGAGGAAGTTCACTGCTCACTACTCGCAATCACCAGGACTCACTGGGAAAGGTGTTTACAAGGCTTTAAAGATGACAAAGGGGAACTTGTAAGGATTTTATAGTCTGAACCGAAAACCTCATCCATAAGGAAGGGAAAGGGGGATCAGAATAGATAGTAAATGTAGACCCAGCAGTAGAAGGAGGCTTTCGAGGTTTTAAAATGTTGTTTTGGTAATGATCAAATTGAAAAGTCAGAAAGGAGACAATATGAAAGTAAGCAACTGTGTGTGTGTGTGTGTGTGTGTGAGAGAGAGAGAGAGAGAGAGAGAGAGAGAGAGAGAATGCCAGCTGACACCACTGAGGAAATTTTCATAGGGGATAGAAAAATAATCCCTTCATCCATTCTCTATAACCCCGCCTCTTACAGCATATCTTCAAGTAATTTGTCTGGTCTAGTTTGAAATGACTAAGTGATGGGGCTTCCAAAATGTTCCCAGTGAGACCATTCCACAGTCTACAAAATTTCACTGTTTCCTCTTATTTAGCTTAATTTTACTCCACTTCAATTCACTGTTTCTATTCAATGGGGGGGAGGGGCGGGGAGTCCGTCTGTTCTTTAAATTCATGTCATAGAAACAGTTTCTGTTTTCTTTTTTTTAAAGATTTTATTTATTTATTTGAGAGAGAGCACATGAGAGGGGGGAGGGCCAGAGGGAGAAGCAGACTCCCTGCCGAGCAGGGAGCCCAATGCGGGACTCGATCCAGGGACTCCAGGATCATGACCTGAGCCGAAGGCAGTCGCTTAACCAACTGAGCCACCCAGGCGCCCCCAGTTTCTGTTTTCTTTTCACTTTAATGATTGGGTTAAATCATCTGTAGCCATGCCTCACATTGGCTTGAAGGGACACAAGACTATTTGAGGATTGTTTTCTTGTTCAAAAGAGCTAGATTGCCTAGGGGAAGGGAGGGAAAAATGAAACAAGACGAAACCGGAGGGGGACACAAACCATAAGCGACTCAATCTCAGGAAACAAACTGAGGGTTGCTGGAGTGATGGGGGGTGGGAGGGATGGGGTGGCTGGGTGATGGACACTGGGGAGGGTATGTGCTATGGTGAGTGCTGTGAATTGTGTAAGACTGTTGAATCACAGACCTGTACCTCTGAAACAAATAATACATTATATGTTAATAATAATAAAAAAGAGATAGATTGGCTGGTCTGTGGGGTCAAATCCCCATCCAGTAAAACTACAAGGGCAGTTTTAGTTGTATCCACCCTGGCCCACGGGGGCCTTAAGCACATCTGATAAGCCACAGATGACATAATATCTTTAGGGTTGTTTTTTTCCCCCATTCCTATGTCCAAGGTACATAAGTAGGAGATCAAAGTTCAGCCCTATTTGAAATGTCCTACAAGCTTTTATTTCTAAACTTACTTCCTCAGAGGGGTACACTGCCATCTGCTGTACCTTCCAGAAGAAGGGGCATCCTTTCCTTAAAAAAAAAAATCAAGTCTTCACGTTCATGGTTAAGATCTTGGTCTATCTCACTATTGCCAGCTTCTCCAAAGCCCTTCTTCATTGCCCAGGTGAAACCTGCCCATGAAGGTGAACTTGAGTTCTGCAGAGTTTCTTACCTGGGACACATCCACAAGATAGGAGAGATATTCAGGATAAAATTTTAGTATCTTTCTATCCTCTTTGAAACAACCCCAAGGGTGTGGGCACAGGGCACAAATCTCTAATGAAATATTTCTCAGACACCCTCAAGATGCTCCGGATTAGGGGTGCCTGGGTGGCTCAGACAGTTAAGCATCTGCTTTCAGCTCAGGTCATGATCCCAGGGTCCTGGGATCGAGCCCCACATCGGGCTCCCTGCTCGGCAGGGAGCCTGCTTCTCCCTCTGCCTGCCACTCTCCCTGCTTGTACTCTCTCTCTCTCTGTCAAATAAAAAATAAAAAAATCTTAAAAAAAAAAAAGATGCTCCGAATTATTTGGTAGTGCTTACATTCATGTAGATCCAAAGCTCCAAGGCTTGACTGAGCAGAAACCTCTGCAGGTGAGGGCAAAATTAATAAATGCCTCAGGTGATTTGTATGCATGATAAAGTAAGAGTACCAAAGATCTTGATCATTTGGGCTCTATCCAGGAGAGGGTTCACAAATTTTTTACTATGTTTCCTCTTCCTTTCATGCATTATCTTCTCCTTTCAGCAATTTGTACTTAGAATGGAACTCGCTCCATATAGACAAGCTGATCCAGCTCACATGAACCATAATGTCTGCCACCACGTGACTGCTGTAGATCAACTTAGCAAGGTGGTGGAACCTGAAGCCAGCCACCACTTACTGGGTTTTGTGACCTTAGCCAAGCCACCCTATCTCTGTCGCAGTTTCCTCAAACCTGAAACAGTAGCAATCATAGCATAGCACCTACCTCCCGGGCTAGTGTGAGGACAAGATTCAATTCATTAATATCTGAGCATTTAAAATAAAGTCTGAAGTATAGTGAACAACACTCTTTATTGTGGACACTGGACATTTAGGACCCCGTAGCTTCCCCTGCAGGACACAATCTAGAAGCCTCTGTATATCCTGTCCACATTCCTGGGTAAGAAAAAAAAGAAATAGAGAAACTTGGATCTATAGTGAGCAGCAGCTGAAAAAAATCAAAAAATTGGCCTCGGTGGTATCCATAATGATCAGCAAAGACCTCAAAAGGCCACAGTACAAGTCCCCTGCCCATCCCTGCCCCACACCGTACCCACTCTCATCACCCAGGGCAGGGGACATCAGTGAGAGGATCCCAGAGCCCTGTGGTGCCCATCCTTTTTTGAGGAGAAAGGAGTAAGTCCTGCCTTTTGGCTGGCTAGGCAAGCATGAATCTGGACATCCATGACAATGAGTCTTGGATGTCAGAAATGAAAACAAACGTCTGCCCGGAGTGCAATGCCATCTTCTAGGCCCATGGTTCCTTAAGCCACCACAACACTTATGCTATGAAAGGATTTTCCACTGCATAACAAGATTCTGAATAAAACCTTGCTGATTCTCAGGAAGGTAGTAGCCCTTCCAAAATTTGTTACCTGGCTCCGTGAGTGACAGGTTTGTTAACAGTAATGACTTTCTCACGGCAGGTACTCAGCATTGTGCTTGTTTCACTAACTCCCTTCACCGCCTTTTCCAGCCTAGTGCCAACCGGAAGGCTTCTCCATGCCAGGTTTTCTGAAGATTAATAAATCTACTGCTATAATCCTTACTGCTTCAACTGACAAAATTAATAAATGATAGGATGCAAAGCCAGGGTTCTCTAATGGGATGGCTTTTTGTTTTTTTTTGTTTTGTTTTGTTTTTGTTTTTGTTTGTCTTCAACAAGTTGTACAGAGTAGCACTTCTGAGACATGGTCAAGTGTTATAAATATAATCCTTAGCAATTTCCTCCTCAGCTCAAGCATCAACTAACCAACCTTGTCCATTCTTGCTCTGTCTTTTCTTCTAATTGTTTG